CCTCTCATTCCTTCCCTCCCTCTCCCTCCCCCACTCTCTCTCCTTTCCTCTCTCTCCTTTTTGATTTTAAACATTGTAGAGGAGAGAATTGGATCAGGGTAGTAGCTCTTCATGGTAGGAAAAATTCCATGGGCAGCTGCAGAGGGGATGATTTGTAGTAGGATATAAGTCCAAGGCCACCTCCACCTTCCCTTTCCATATGTGCAAACTCAGATATGTTAGGGCACATTATTCTTCAGGATTGAGGTCTGGGAACATCAGTGTTATTCTGAGCTTTATTTTGTAATAAACTTTAAAATGTTTTTTCTATAATATTTCAATCTATTCATTGACCAGTACTGTTGCTTTTCTGCTAATATGATTAGCAAAGTTTTGTTTTGTTTATTTAGACTTTACGGAGTTTATTGCACAAATGCTTGTTATTTATAGTACATTAAAAAAAGGTTATCTTCAAATGACCTATCTTTTGCTGAAGTTTCATACATTTTTACTTCTTCCTCTTGAAATTAGAAATGGGAAAAATTCATGAGGAATGATACAGAACATTACATTTTGATCCGGGGGGAGGGGGGGAATGGCAGAACGAATAATATATGCATTGGATATCCAAGTGAAATCAGTATTGATATGAAAACCAGCCCTTTGGCTCATTCAACCTTATGTTATTTATTAAGAAAATGAGAGACATCTTTCACTATAATGAGGCAGCAACCATTTTTGTGGCAATGAATATTAGCATGTAAAGTTCCTATTCTTTTTAGTTATAGTCATACAACAGCATGAAATATCCATACCTAATTGTGACTAAATACTTCTCTTTACAGTGACTGTTTTATACATAAAACATTGCAGGAGTTTTTATCAGTCTGATTGTATAGCTTACTAAACTGTGTAATCTTTTATAATGCATGGAAATATATACCTTGATAAGCTATTCACATAAAAGCACGTAAGATTTGCCAAGTATATAGGCAGTTCAAACTTTTCATTAAAGATGAAACATTAGAAATCTTCCCTCCCACCCCCCTAGAAATACAGCCTAAAGCAACATTTGAATAGGAGCTTGGAAATGTTAGGGGCCAAACATTTTATCCCTTTTGAGGATGTGGCAGGCTTAGATTTATTTATTTTCCATTTGTAAGTGCTAATTCTATACTGTAGCTACTTAAGCAGCTAGCTCTACTTTTAGTTATTAATTAAAATAGAAAAGGATGTGCNGGGAAACAGGGTATAAGAATGTGCAGTTTGATATTTCACATGAGAATCTATGCATTGGAGCTACTACTGATTACTTGCATTAACTTTTTGTCTAAGTAGGTGCTTTTTGTTTCCTTGTTTTAAGCCAAATTGGACTCAGTTCAAAAATATTAAACTTCTGAATTTAAAATCTCTTCTCTAGGTCACTTATACTGAAGGGGGGGGGCTCTTAAATCTATAAAGATAAAATAAGGATGATTCACTCTTAATTGTGTTGTGGTTTTACAGGTACTTCATGATGGATAAAACCACTCCAGAACCCAACACGGATTCATCTGTGGCAAACAGCAGTAAGTCACAGTTTGTGCACTTTGAATCCTGCCAGCCATCTCTCCTTCTATTCTTGTTGCTCATCATAGCGTATGCTGTGGTCATGCTGGTCGGACTTCTGGGCAACCTTTGCCTAATTGTCATCATCAAGAAACAAAAACAAAGTCAAAATGTGACCAACGTTTTGATTGCCAATCTTTCCGTATCTGACATCGTCATTTGTGTCATGTGCATTCCTTTTACAGTTGCATATACCTGGATGGATTACTGGGTTTTTGGGGAGGCTATGTGTAAAATAACTGCTTTTGCGCAAAGTATGTCTGTCTCCGTTTCTACATCTTCACTTGTGTTAATTGCAGTTGAGAGGCATCAGTTAATCGTGAACCCCCGTGGTTGGAAGCCCAATGTTTCACATGCGTTCTGGGGAATTGTCTTCATTTGGGCATTTGCTCTAATAATATCCACTCCCTTCTTGATATTCTATCAAGTTTCTGAGGATCCCCTAAAAAATCTCTCTTCTCTTGGTGAGAGCTACGTCAGCAAAATGATCTGCTTTGAGGTGTGGCCGTCCATTGAAGGGCAGCTAGGCTTCACCACCACCATGTTAGTTTTCCAGTACTTCCTTCCACTAGGATTCATTTTCATTTGTTACCTAAAAATATTTGTGTACCTGCAGAGGCGGTACAGTAGAGTGGATAAGGTAAGGGAGAATGGGAGCAGGCTAAATGAAAGCAGGAGGATTAATGTTATTTTAGTTTCAATTGTTGTGACCTTTGGTGCCTGCTGGTTGCCTCTGCACATATTTAACATTGTGTTTGACTGGAATTATGAAACCTTGATGCATTGCCACCACAACGTGGTCTTTACTTTGTGCCATTTGATAGCCATGATCTCCACGTGTGTCAATCCCATCTTTTATGGATTCCTCAACAAGAATTTTCAGAAAGATGCGGTTGTTTTGCTTCACCACCTCAAATGCTTTGAATCTCAAAAGTTATATGAGAACATTGCCCTTTCAACTCTGAACACTGATATGTCCAAGGGATCTCTGAAACTCAGCAGCATGCCTGAAAACCTCTGAAGCAGGCAACTTTCCAATCATTTCCATATCTTTCCATTGATCTATGTATTGTGTTGCTGAATTCCCCTTGTGGGCAAGTGTGGTTTTTGGGGTGATGAAATCAAAGGCCTAGTACTGTTGTGCTAGAAGCAGACACCACCTAAAAGATCTTCCAAATGAATAAAGCAAAAATTAATTATTAACCATAGCAGTTTTAACTCCATTGCAAGAGTATCTTTTGTTCAAGTGCTGAACAAGTGCTGTGTGAAAATTCAGAAAAAGATGCACCATGTTGCTGGGAAATGATGCAGCATTCCTTGTGGTCCATGCATGATTCCCATGAGTCTCTGGGACAGCCTCAAATATTTCTTCTAATGAACTAATGGTTTGAAGGGTCCCTGGTGCTTTCTGAGGTTGGTTCTTTTCTTGCAGACATTTCATTACCCAAATTATGTAACATCATCAGTGCTAACACTTACTTTAATGCCCTTATAGTCATTATAAAGAAGAGATTCACATTCAAA